CTATTTCTATACTAAACATTAATTTCCTTCATAAAATTTAAAGGTATCCCATAAAAGTTTTAATTTTCCAATAGTGTGCTTGGTGGATAATATCGATGCCTGTTTGTAGTCTGTTAAGCAGCACGGATGATAACAATTTTTAATTTTTCCTTTAATCGATAATTTGTCTTTGCGTGAATATCGGGTCTGTATATTTGTCAACATCTTTGTGGTTTAGACATAGTGCATATTAGAGTTAAACCTCTAGTCTTCATATTTTTGGTTTGGTCCTCTTTCTTATTCTTGTTTACTACTATTCTGGTGTTAATTCCTGTGGAATAATTTCATTTTTGATAATTTATGACATTAATGTGGTTTCAGTTTGTATGTACAGTAGGTCTGTAACTAATTTCGCTGTTTTACTTCCGGAACGTTCTGCACATTTACAATATCTTACAGTAAGTACAAACGAACGTGTGAAGGGAAAGGCAGGCTGCTTACATTCTTAACCTGGGAACTAGGTGGAGATGAGTTGCCAGCTTCCTCTCTGGTTATTTTACAACTAAGGAAAGAGCCCTTTATAGTACTTTGTTGGGAGGAACGTATTATAAAGTATTAATATTAAGCCTAATTTTAGGCGCGTTCATACATTGAGCGCCTATTAAAACCACTTTGTCCGTCCGTATGCATGTGAGAATTCGTGAACGGCTGATGAGATTTTTATGACACTCGATGTTCAGGAATTTTATTAAAATGTTTCGACGCATTCCAGGTTCGATTAAATCTGGCAGTAGTAGGTCTAACGACATTTTGCACGTAACCCGATAGCTGTTTTGGACGAAAGTGACGGTGAGAAATCGCCAACGGGTTATTCTCCTAACATTCACAAATGCCAAAGTTCAAATACTGGCGAATGCAAATTGTTGCGCTGGGAGCAATTTCCCAAATTATTGAATTGAAAGTTTCATTGTTTAAACAGGTCCGGAAAAGCAAAACATAAAACAGCGTCGTTCCAGTAAGTTGGATTGTCATGGCAGTGAAATTTAGGCTGAACATATGTGTATCTGACTCATTCTCCTTCCAGTGCGTCGTTACATTCCGCTGGTTGAAACGGTAATGAGGCATTGATCCATGTACGAAGGACCTACCGGGCTTGTGTAGTTTGATTCCGAGGACAAGTTGGTGCCTTTATAGTCCATTCCCCTCTCACACAGCCACGGCGACGGTGTAATGGGTTGAAGTTGTACACTTGGGAATAGCATATCTGCAGCTCGTCGCTTGCCTCAATGCAACGGTCGAACACACCCGACTACTTCAAAAGAAATGTCGTTGCAGCCACAGAAAGGTATAAATCTGAAGCACGCACTGTATACGCTAACAAGGAAGGGAGACTAATATGGAAGGCACATGCCCGATTAAATTTGCTTGAAAAATGTTGCTTTGATGTGCTGGACTGAGTCTGAAATCGTATGGTTCCAGGAATAAATAAATTGCGGTTGTATTTCTCTTTTGGCCGGCTCAAAAATACTGAATGAAACGTTTTACATCTTTATTCCGATAAAGGAAGGGACTGCTAGTGATTCCTAGGCGTAGATGTGATGATTTCTGGGTTGTTGCGTCG